GGAACCCATTATGCCACAAAATGATTATAAAAAAAGCAAAGATTGATGTTTGTTGCATTAACAATGATAAACTGACCAAAAAGCCATGTTTTTCTTAATCAGGTTACTCATCAACATTATAGAATCTGCCATTTTATTTGGGTGTGACACCTGACTCTGACCGGTGAAGTCACCAGGCGCTAAAGAAGGGGGTTTATGATTAGTTGACCATTCAGACGGGATTTCGTTGAATTCTTGTTAAACATGTATATGCGTCCATGGCCCCCTTTACAAACTTTAGCCATTCCCTTAGCCAGATTCATTTTTTGTTAGCCATTTCCAATTGTGGTAAGTCAGAAAATAATTGTGTGCAATCTGAAAAGAAATAAAGCAAATAAACGAGATCGGCCATTTTGAATTAAATCATCAAACCAACACATATGTATATATATGATATGTGATGCATAATGAATATATAAAATTTGAACATAATAATTCAAAGCAATTATGAGATATGGCTCTAGAACCACATTCATTAAAACAAAATGACTGCCAGTCAGCCACTTTAAATTTGATCTGAAAAACAAAATGATGTGCATCAAGGACCAATAATATCTAATTCATGTACGAAGATTGAAGAAAATCCATCCATAAATGACTAAGATCATGTTCCGGAATGCCAGAAATGCTTGATTTTTAATGATTTTTTAGCACACAAACGGCCACCATTCAGCCATTTTGAATCGAACGCCAAATCAATATATCTGTATGTAAACTGAGAACAGACTTCTCAAGGTAGAGTGAACCAAGTGAGTATTGGTCACCAAATCCAAGAGGAGAATAACACACTGTTTATTGCTCAACTGCTAGTCCTGGAACTGAGTCTAAATACTCATGAGATGTTCCATACAATGTATCAATATCATTATGCAAATAACTAAACTAAACGTCATAGCCTCAAATCATTACACTGTATATCTATGAGATGATGTATAAGGGGAGAGTAGGAAATCAGACGGGAGGTTCACCGCGGTAATCACCACGACTCTACGCGGTACACCGGGGAGAGCCGCGGACTGCTTATAATTAGGGGTCTCTACCGTGGTGGCCACCGGTACTGGTTGCAACCTTGGTCCTAGGAAAGGTGTGAAATACGTACTTAACAGTTTCCTTTGTGATTCCATGAGTCTTTGTTTCAAATAGCTGTTTTTAAATCGAGTAGGTTACGAGCATTGTTGGCATGGTAATACTAAGCATATGGTAATATTATCGGCCCACATATTTTATTAATATAAAAATCCATAAGTCCAATGCTGTATATGAATTGTTGCTGCGTGAAACAATGTTGTATTTTATGCATGTATTTATCACCAAGTTCCAAGAGTAAAAGTTGTAACTTTCGAAGGTACGAGTATTACTGTAAAATCTGTATTAGAAGCCGCAGCTTCTATTAAAATAGTTTAATGCAACAG